TGACTTAGAAGTTTGGCTTATAAGTGCTTTGGAAAATGCTATTTTATCTATGATTCCCAAGCTTGCATTTCTTGGCCAAAGAAATAAGGCTGTAACAAAGCAAGGAAGTGAATGTAGACATCCCAAATGCCAAGGTAGTCTGTTCGACTTCAGTGTGTCAAAAAATGGCTACCTTGAATTCATGTGTGAGGGTAACAGATTATCTAGTGAATTTTGGGGAGGTAAAGAACACTCCTCATGTCAGACCATTCATTTGCTTATGTGTAATATAATAGTTATTTCCAGCTCAGTTTTCCTCCATTCTCCTCTAACTACATAGCGCCGATGAAGACTGATCTAAGATCTGAAGATACTAGTGGGAACTGTAATGGAAATACCATGATTTCCATTTGTTTCTGTAGATCCCAGAAGACACTACCTAAGAGAAAAACTGAAGAAACAGAAAGGAACAAAAATAGCTAGTGCTGGTCATTGAGCTGTCATTGTAGAAGGTAAGTAAGTTGCGGCAACTTGGAAAGAGGTGACAGCAAGTAGGAGAATAACTCCTTAACATGATTTTCTCTTTCTTCAACTTGAAACTGCACAGTGCAGGGATTGACTCCTGCATCAACACAAACAATCCTAGCCTTGCACGCAGACCCTACCCAGAGGTCGCCTGGATCAACTGGGCTGGATTATTTGCAGATTTGCTTTGTTAATGGCAGAAGTTGGACCAGACAATTCAGTCTGGTTACTGTAACCAATCCTATTCCCTGTATTCTCATGTCTTTTTTCTTTTCCCTCTTAATTCAATTTTCAGAATAACACTTAAAAGCTGTTGTCTTGCAAAGATTTCCTGTATGTACTATCTGCACTGTATTATGACAACTGTTTTCACCAATTAATTCAGCCAGTTTAGGAGATAAAATAATTTAGGTAGTACATTGATTTGACATGTTTTTATTCTGATTTTGTATGTTTGCCCATCCATCCATCCATGAGTACCTGCTGCTAAGGCACTTTTGTCTTGCAATTTTACATTTGTTGAAACCTTCAGTCCTCTTGAAGCTTTTGGGGAACAACAAGAGTCTAATTGGTCAATGCATTGTCTGCTGTTGCTTTCCAATGAGTGCCAATGTTGGCATTTATTGCAAGTTCAAATTGACTATAAGCTAGCAAAGTGCATCCCTTGTTTAGTAGCATCATCAATATAGAGGTAATGACAACTCACCCAATGGCAGGTCTTCTAGTCCTGCTAATGTTTGGATGACCTTAAGAACTAGCTGTTGAATTTCTTATAGCCCTGGAGGATTTGTCGAACAGAGCTGGAATAAGGGCAGTTATGAGACCTGGATGGCAAAAACATTTCTTACCCTCCATAATGCTTCTTTTCAAGCAACTCAATGCATTCCTAAAGTCAATGAAAACAACAAACAACTTTAAGTCCCATGTATTAAAATGAGGATTAAAAAAAGACTGGTGGGCTGAAATTAATGATGATTCAGAAATGAGTCAGCTATTGAACTCTCCTTCAAAATATGTTTTCAAGAAGAAAAAAAATAGAATAGTACGAATAATTGGAGACTAAGAAGCTTTTGCAAGTAAATACTTGCAGGTACTTAGTGTGTGTGGAAGTAAGAAATTCCAGAAAGCATGCACGAGAAGGTACACTAAGAAAACTAACTAGTGCTCTTACTGGCCACTAGCAACCATCTTTTAAAAATAATGAGTAACTGCTAAGATTCTGGATGAATGTAGCAAACAATTTGACATTCACTTTTTGAAAGACTTGAGAGATCTGACTGCATTGAGACATTTACCCTTGAAGTGAGTAGAACACATCAGTGGTCCATCCCTGGTCAGGTCTGTGACCCTAATCCAAGAGGGCACTCAGGGTGGGCTTGCACAGTCCTGTAGAGTGTCCCTTGTGTTTTCACGTTACTCCAGAATATTTCACACTGGTACATTAATTAATGGTATTTTTTTTAATTTTATTAGAAATTTTATTAGAAAAGAAAATTCATATGTTTAAAACTAAAAGTCATGAGCTGATGTTATGCTGCATTGGATAAAATGGATGACAGACAGCCATTTTGTGAAGAAATCTTTTATAAATTCTGAAATTAAAAAAAAAGAGCTAATCTTTAACACTGTTTCAGTTGAGCACTAATGAGCCCACATGCCAGCTTGGACATGTAAGTGAAGTTATTCACAGTGGGTGGATTTGCACCAATAGATAACCTGTCACCAAAATAAAATTGACAAGATTAAGTTTTTGTCTTTGTTTTGTGTCATATTTCTGCGATGTACTTTATTGCCTGTAGATCCTGCTCCAGAATAAAACTACGATAATGTCCATGGGGTAGCATATACTACATAAAAGCTGAATGATCAATGCTTTGCATTGATTCAGACATAAAGCTCATGACACCACACACAGCCTTGGAAAACCACTTCTTTTATGTGTTTCAGCTTTTGTCTTGAAAAGGAGACATTCACCCAAAAGCACGTTAAGCCAAGCATGCTTATCTCCAGAAGTATTTCTATACTGATTCTGGAAATCAGGTACTTATTAATAAGTGGGAAAGATTCAATATAGTTACTTCCCTGTGCACTATCAGAAAAGACAAAAATAATTCCCTGGCCTGCTTTAGGCACAGAAAGTAGCAAGACAGGAAAAGGCTTTTCTTCTTTTTGCACTTTTTTTCTCTCACCCATGGTGCACAGCACTGAACACAGTAAATTTATTTTGCAGTTCATAACATGTCAGCTTTGCTGTGTTTCTTTTAGCAGGGGAAGATAATTTCTTAAACTTTTAATCAAATTTTTGATTTGCTCCTGCTCTCCCAGAGCTCATAATGCAAATGCTTTCAGCTTTTCTATTTCTTTGCTTGCATCCGTTCTACTTTGAAAGAGCATTATATATAATTTTGCTCCCTTTTCATGCTCTTTTATGAAACTCAGAGCTTAATGTTTGCAGGAAACTTATGCTGCTGGTAAGCTTTCATTCTGGAAACACAGGGAGGTGTCTGCTTGACAGTTACCTGTACTGCTGCTGAGGCCATCTCTGCAGGGGTCTCACCTGGCCTGGCTTGGGCCAAATCGGCAATTTGAAAAGGCATTTTGAATGTGAAAGATAAAACCTTTTTTCTTACACTCTCTGCCAGGAAACCCCACCTATTCAGGAAAAAAAACAACCCCAAACCACAGAGAGAAAACCAAGTGCCTCCTCACCCCACCCAAATTGTTGCAACAACTTCCAGTTTTGTGAATTGTAAACTATGCCTCTCTGGGTTTAGAGGCATTGCTCCCAATGTTCAAAATTTCAGTGTGTAAAGGGAGGCACCTGAATAAAATCAGCCTGCCTTTCCAAGGAGTTAAGCAAAAGTTGTGATGGGTATATTTACAGCAGTGGATAAAAGAGTAGATGTAGGCATTTAATTTTACTTAATTATTGTGTAAAAATTGCGGCTGCAGTGACAGATTATTGCTGAAACACATTCATGCACATCTTTCCACCGAGTAATTGTTCTCCCCTCAAAAACAACAATGAAAAAAAATCTAAGCTTTCCCTGCAAAAACTCACTCCTGAGTTCAGTAGTTCAATAAGGTGGTTCGTTCCTTTAGGTCCCACAGGTCATTCCTATGGCTGTATCTGGATAGGTCAAAACATTTGCAAATGCAATTGTAAGACAAGACCAAGAAAGAGTCATATCAGTTTTGCTAGATGGAGAATCTCTGCCTTCAGTAAATATCACTTCATCTGGGAAAAAAAAAAAATCCTGTCTTTACCCTTCAGCTGCTGCAATCACTGCTAAGTGACTGTCATGACAGACAACGCTTATTTCAGAACAACTCAGCGTTTTGCTCGAACATGTCTATTAACTATATCCCACTAAGCCTTGAGCATCTATTTTAAAATATCAACTGGAGAATTCAATCACTGTTGTGAAATGGTACACAACTACACATGTCTTTATTTAAAGTAACAACAGTTGTCAATCTCCGAGTGGCACATATGTGATAAACACAAACCAACATATACACAAAAGCAGCTTTGAATATATGAGCTAAAGGCTTGAGCTGAGAAAGTTTTAAGGTGCATGAAAACACAGATGAGTGTTTTGCCTGCCTGATGATGAACTTCTCCCAGAACAATAAAGACTGAACACGACAAATATGTAGAGTATTTGCAGCAGTCCTAGGGGTAATGTTATTGTTTGAGTGTCCTCTGCTGGACAGTACATGGCACAGCAATAAACCCACCTGCATATGTTGGATGGATTTTGCTTAGAAAACATCATCACTACAAAATTCAGAATATTTCTTATGTTTCATAGTCACTTAACTAAAAAAAAAAGGTTTTAATGAAATGCTACAATGCTGAGATTTTAAAAAACAATTATTTCCTTTATGGCAACCTATTTGTAATGTTAAGTAGGCATAAAATTTTCAGCTGAGCTAAGATAAAATGCTTTTTGGAAAAATACTGATTTTGTCAATTTTGCGATGGAAAATTGTTACAATGATTCGTTTAGATAAGGTGAAAGTGTTTTGCTTAAAGGCTTTGGCTTTACTGTGAATTCTGATTGAATTTGATGAAATCAGAAAGCTACTTTTAGCCTTGAGCTTGTCATTCCTGTGACAGTCTACTGCATGAATCTGTGTACAGGATCAACATCACATTTTGCGGGCCTTTGGCATGTGGCTGTTCTGCCAGCCATCATCTCTGACCCTTTAAAAATTGCAGACTGGCTCTATTGGAAATGCCAAGAGAGGTTTTCTTTTATTGAGAATTCGGTTCAGTTCACGTAACTTGTTCTGTCTGTTATTTGTAACCAGGTACATGTAAGGCACTTCCATACTTGTATGTTAGTTTTTCTGGTTGTTGATCACAGGTTTGCTATTAGTTTTACTTTCTGACCAGTGTTATTTTTTATTATTTAGTTACTCATAAGATTGTGAAAGTTGTTTCTAAAAGAAGCTGTCCTGATTCATGTGACACTGGTCTAAATGGCTTTCTAAATACATGATTCATTCTCTGTATCACAAGAACCTGGCAAACGTTCTTTGGTCTTGCAATTATCTTCTTTATTCATAGGAGCATCTTCTCTTCCTCCATTCTCTATAGGCCTGGAGTTCTTATTTTGAAAGTGTTTCTTTACCAATATAAAAAACAAGATAGCAATCAAGTAGGAAGGACCTCTTAACACCGCTGATAAACCAAAGTAGACATACCTGTGGGATAGAGCATAGAAGATTTCAAAGGCACTGAAGAAAATCACTTTAATGGTTTTTAAGGATCACATATATACAAAAAAAAGCTTAGGGGAAAACATTGAAATTCATTCTTTGTGAATGGTACCACAAACTGGACATTTTTGCTTGCAAAAACTTCCATTGAACAATTGATAATAATCTTTCTGCTTATGAAGGCAGTTGCAAAGCAAAACTTCCATCATCTTCCCTTTGTTTCTGAAGATTTTTGGATCCCTTTAAGGCCTTAGACTTTCTAGGGCTAGAAATATATTTAGATTGCCAGGGTGGGCTATTATATGTAAAAATAAAAAAACACATCTAAGTGGCCAAGGTTTAGGTGAAACTGAGAAAAATCTCTGGAATATTCCTCCCGGAGACTGATAATGTTTGTGTTTAACCAATACCTTTAGCTGCTCAGTATGATTTTCTTTCATTTGTTTTTCTCTCAAATGTCACCAATGCACAAAGTTAACATTCTTACCAGTATGAACAAACTACCTGCAAATAAGGTAAATTTGGGTAACTTTCCTCTTGACGGTAAATTATACAATCCTAGGTCTTTTAAATTGACTCATAGCATATTAAAAATACATAATTATTTCCAGAAATCTCTGCCATTGATATTAAATTATTTTTGCACAACATAAAGGATGACTAAAACCCTAAGAGTTTAAGATTTGATCTTAAGATTCCTCAATTTCAGGAATTATGGACTTACCTAAATGTGAGTCCAGAGTGAGTATTTAACCATAATTTTTGATCAGTGGCCTCATGAATACAGCATAACAGAACAAAGCACGTCTATCTGTAGAGAGGAAATGCGTGAGGCTTTTTTGTGCCCTAATTTGCCTACCTGTATGCATTGGAGTCGTACAGCCTGCAAGCCCCTCGCTGCCCACAGCTTGTGCTTCCCCATTTCAAGCACGTCTTGTCGATCAGTGCACCAAAATAAACCGGTGCTGGAATTCCAGCTGCAAGGAAACAAGCAAAAAATGTCACAAGATATCACAGGAAAAGACATCTTTTTAGAAATGACCTTTATATTTTCTTAGTGGCAAGTTACATGCTGCAACAGCAGCAATAGGTGGGTTGGACTATGGAGAGTTTTTCCTTTCCTTTATCAGAGTAACTCTAAGCTGGGACACCCTCTCCATGCCCTGGGGATGATCAGTCCCCAGGAAATGTGGTCGGATGGCTTGTAGTCATGCACATTGGTTTCTCAAACTGGTTTCCAGTGCATGCTCAGCTCTTGCAAGGGAGAGCTGGACTGGTTGTGCATTTGGAGCACTCAACTTGATGCATAGTTCCCACTTCTATGCGTAGCCTAAATTATCTACACTGGCTGATAGTCCCTTCTGCCTGAATGAGGGTAAAGCAGTTGAAATCCTTAGTGTGACTTGCCCAGATATGAGCTTACACTTTACTGCAAAACATGGCAGACATGGGACAAAATCCTAACCTTGCTAAAGTAAAGGCAAGTATTAACTTCAGAGGAATCCAGGTTTCAGCATGTACAGGACCATGTTTCACATTATCTTCGTTCCTACAGGAGCATCCTGCATTCTTATATAGGAAATAATTTATTTTGCAAAAAACAGGTATAGTCTTAGTCTGTTCTACTCTAGGGCTCCTGTGAGATTCTGAACTCAGTAATCTATCTATAAAGGCCTGTGTATTACAATCATCAGTGCTGTAGTCAGGGTACGAAGGGACAAATGCTCAGTTTGGAGGTTCCTTAGAGGAAGACAGGAGTACATCAGATTTGCTCTCTGAGTCACTGAAGAGAAATGCCAGCTTTTTTGAATCAGTGACAGTGGCTCTACCCCTTCTTGCAATGGAAGGAGCATGCTGGCTTAATGTGCTGAAGCAGAAGCCTATAGAAAGGGGGAAGTTCTTTTTTAGTAATGCTTTTTTTATTTCCTATGGCTGAAATTGCTCCAGGAATCCCCTTGGCATTGCTTGTCCTGAGAGCAGGGAGAGAAATTCTGCCCCTCCATTGTGTGATGAGAAAAGTAGAAGAGGACAAAGTGTGGATATACCTTCCTATCTCAAAATGTCCCATCACAATCCTGAGACTACAGACCTAACCTAGCTCTGATTGTAGACATTTTTAAGCAGCTGTTGAATTTTTAGGATTTATAGCAAACCCATGTGGCTAGTCTCTTTACACACATTTCTCTACATTTCTGAAATGCAGGTATTCCTATTCCATTGACAGAGTGATCAAAAGGCAACAGAGAGGTGTTTTCTTGCCTGCCTAGGCATCTTAATCAACCATCTCATTAGTAACTCTCAAACAAAAAGGGAGGGGAAAAGAGCATTGCAGCATGTTTAAAGGGACTTGAAATCTAAGCTGTCTACAAGGAAAGTGAATTTTCAACATGAAGAAAACACTCTACTATGAGCAGAGTCGTATTAGTGTTGAATGAAGTCCTACTAGAACATGTCTATTTGATTTTGCAGCATTCTATCTCAATAAGGCATTGGTTGAATCATAAGTTTGAAAGCTTGAAGTGTTGTTTAGAAACTCAAGATAATACTTCAATTTTTCTTAGAAAATCTTCCCATTTTGGAACACCAGGCTCCCAAAATGCAACAGTATTTAATCAGCAGGTCAAAGATTTTCAGACTTGTGTTAGCTGGTGTCCCAATAAACTCTTGATTGAATACTGGACCTTCAGAAAAAAGCAGGATCTTCAGGAACAGCCCAGGATCTAACAGCTATTTCAAGGATACATCTGGTTTACAAATGATAGTTGCATTGGTGTCATTTAAAGCCAAATGAGCAAGCACCTCAGTCAGAATGATTTCTCTTACCTAGCGTTCTCATAACCAGTGTGTATAGACCAACTGCAAGAGATTTCAACTCTGGCTGAACGCATCTGAAAGACAGACAGATAAGTATGAAGTATTTGCCTATCTAGTGCTTAGACATGCCTATTAAACTGCTGTTAATTACCGTAAATTTAATATTCCTAATGACAGAAAGCCACGCTTTGGAAGAACAGTCCTTCCTACATCTGCTGAAAACATGTTAAGTGGTATAAAGAAGGTGAATTAATCTATTGTTTTCCATCACATAGCTCCTGGGAAGTCCATTCACTAAGGACAATTAAAGAAGTGAAATTTTAAAGTCATGATCACGGTCCATTCTAATTTTATTGAAATGGGCTCTCTAACTCCCTTAACTCCCTGGCATACATTTTCCTCACTTGATGGGATATACCTTACTCACTTGATGGGAAATATCATATTGTCCTAAGACAAAAATGTTGCAAGTAGCTGCATTAGTAAGGCATCTTTCTGTTCTTGAATGACATTCCTCTGTATAACACCACTTCTTGAACTACACAAAGCTGTCTGGCAATATGCCCATCTGTTTCATGGGGAACCACACTACTAGCATCAGAAATGGGCACTGATCTTGAATCCATTATATATCCAGCCTCTGCCATCTCCTTACAAATATTAACATAGTCAACGCTCAGAAAGACGTCTCACAGAGATGAGGAAGGGAGGGGAGTTCGCATTCTGTTTTCCATGCTCATTTAGGATGATATGATGCCCTTAGGACTACCATTAAATTTACCATTAATGCATTTTTCTACTGAGTGAGCTTTCTCTTCAGATTACTGAAAAGTATGTGCTAATTTGTGTACGTGGTTCCAAATCACATCCTGGTACACCTGCACCTGTGTACCTCAACAGACATGAGCGTAGGAGCCTCAGACAGAGCCCTCAGATGTCCTGAATTTCCAGATATCTGATAAGCACAGTCTGTTAGGGCAACCCCACATCCAGAAATCCTGACAAATGCATGGCATTTTCAGAATCCATACAGCCAGAATATCCAAGCAGAGAAAGAGGATGTGTTCTGGAAAACCTGGGCGTATGACAGGCATAAGAGAAACCATTTTGCAGTAGTTGGCAGCAATGTACTAGAACCAACTTACAGACAGCAGCAAGGTAAGGTTTGATGCTAACAGCTACAAACAAATAACAAAACTCATTAAAGAAAGCATGTTATACTGCAAGAGAGGTTTTTTTTCCTAAGGGAAAGAGAGGAACCTAAACATAATTTTGATCCCCTCATTGGGAAGCCTCAACCTTTGGTACAGAGTTAGTTTTACTTACCTAAACATAATCATGTATGCTGGGGTGCCTCCCAAAGCGTAACAAAAGCCGCTCATGACTTGTATTACTGTATAGTAAACAAACCTCCTTGAACAATCTTCACTTTTTGGACATTGTCCCAAGGTGGCAGAGTTATTTCCTGTCCATGAACTGCTGGCTTCAAGACAGCTGCAGTTATGGAAGACCTGGAAGACATGAAGCGGATTTGATAGGGCACTGCTCATGCCATGGGGAATCCTGCCTTCGGACACAGGCAGAGCCTGAAGCCTTCCTAAGCATCCCATTCCTATCTTATTTGCCTTTCTTGAGGCAATGGACAGCATCTGCTTCTTTTCCAACCCTTTTTGGAAGATGCTCGGAGTACCTGCATGACCTCTGAGGCTGGCCTCAGCCTTTGTGTCCCTGGAGGGCAGTTGAAGTGGAAAAGTGAGGCTCAAGGAGCTGTGCCTTTGGCTGCTAGGTGACACCACCTGGTAGTTGATTTGTCTCTGTGAAAAGCACCTGGATCACTGGTCCCTCTCTGCTAACGCTCATCCATCAGAGGTACCTCACAGCTCTGAACAGCAGCTACCTGTCAAGACACAGCTCATGCAGACCCCTGAGATCAGCAGTGGGTGTGCTGATAGCTTAAGAGCAATAGCTTTTAGCCAGGGCTTCAGGGGCTTGAGGATGTGCTGAGGTAAGGGGACCTGTGAGCCACAAACCTTAACCTCTACAGAGACAGACTTACGTGGGAGGCAGTAGTCCTACTGTCACAGATGCTGCTGAGCCCTTCTCCCCTGTCTCCCACCTTAAGATTTTAAGCAAAGAATGTCTTTGGAGAAGATGACTGTACACAGCAGAGAGAAACCAGCCACAAATAAAAATCTGTTGGAGAGAAAAACTATTGGGGTGCAAGAGACAGCTCCAGACCATGTACCTTCTGTAGTGATCATCTGGCATCAGAAAACATGGGAATGACACAGTCCAAGGAAGGCTTATATCCATGGACTAGAGCTTCCTCTCTGGGACTCTGTGCATTATCCCCAGCACTCTGTGCTGAGCAGAAATTAGTCAGCCAGAAAAATTAGCGGTATCCTGCCATCCCAGAGTCTCACACTGAGGAACCAAGCTGCCTCCCCTCAAATCATTCTTCATACCTACACATTAATGGTCAGCATCAGGGAAGATACTACCCTATCTTAGTGTACTTCAACTGCTGGCTAAAACCTCAGGGCAGCCAAAATGAGTTTTATGAAATGCAAGCCATGGACAACCTTCAGGCAACATGTAACCACTTTGATCTGTTTGTTTTCCCCTCTTGCGTTCAATGTACAAAACATGAAAATCAATATCTACAACAAAGACCTAGGGTTTTTTGCTTAATGTGCTGTAACTCAAAGAATTCTCTATGTCTTCTGTGCTGTTTGTAGCCAGAAATCATAAATATTTTACTGACTGGTCCCCAGTAACTTTGTCTTTCCTTAAATGCACTATACTACTAAATCCCTGATGTTACATGGAAAATAAGCTAGTAGAAAACCTCAGAAACTGAAACAGAGTCTTACTGTATTCTTTCCATGTCCCACCGAAGTCGTGCACCCAGCTAGACATGCCGAAATGTATGTGAGTCCGTTGTCTCCACACACAGGATCCCACACGTTGGAGGCACATTTGCAGTTAGAGTGGCACCCAGAAAATACGGCATTTTCATGGTACGGAATGGGTTTGCTTGGAAGTTAAATTCAGACAGGTGTAAGAAATTTGTAATTCAGTGTTGAGGTCAGTGTAGTCCCTTCTGTGTGACAGTGTTGCTGTCCTGAAACCCACCTCATATGCCCAGGACATACACTTTCATAGCTGAGTCTCTACAGTATTGGTCTGTTTGTTTGAGATTCCATCCTACTTTCACTGATATTATTAAAGTGATTACTAGATTATAAAGAATTTTAAAAGAAATAAAAATGTTGCAACTCATTTTAGCTGGCAGGTGTAGAAAGAAAAGAAAAAGAAAAAGCTAAAAGGTTTTGAGAGGTCAGCTAGACTACCCCCTAACTGAACGGAGAGCTAGCAACAGTTGAGACAGTCTTATCAAGTACATCTTTAGCTGTTGGTAAAAATGCACCAATGATAGAAACTAGATTTCCTGGTCTCCACAGTAAAAAAATACTGCTCTCTTAAAGCCTAGCCTAACTCTTCCTAGAGGATATGGATAATGCAGTATTCCCTTCTACTTTCAGACATCCTTTGGGTATTGAGATCTGTAACAAGGAGTGATGTCTTCCCTTAGCTTCTCCTTTCTGGGTTAGTTAAGCTTATGTGCTTGCCATCTCTTTCATCTCAGTGCTTACTAAGCATATTCCCTGGTCCACCATTTGCATTCTTAGTGAAAACATTGCAGAGTATAGGACAAGCAACAATTAGTCCTTAGGTTCCAACAAATACAAACACCCTTGGCATCCTGCCTGTTGAGTTCCACATTTTCTGCTGTGAACCAGTATGGCTTGATAAATGAACCGTAGTGACAAATTATTGAACTGTGGGTAAGTCTTCAGGGAGATGCAGACAGGTTCACACTAGCCATGAGGTACTCTAAGCAGGCTGGATGTGAGGTAATGATGCAATTTTGCTAATATATTTCTAATTAATCTTTAACCAGTGTTGTGCTTTGGCAGGCTCACACTCTGCTGACCAACAAAACTATCACAATGACACGTGGTAGTGTTCACTTTCTCTTAAGCATTGCAAAAGCATGTTCCTCATTTAGCCTTGATGTCATTGTACAGTTTTTGAACTATTGCTGCCACAGAGAAAAACATACTCCTCTTCATTTTATACTCACCCTTCATAGGACACTGTAATTCCTGCCACTACATGGTTCTCACAGCCAACAAAGAATTGCAGGAGACTGAAGATGTAGGCCAAAAATGACATGGTAAATGCAAACTTGGTTGCTCCAATGATGCCCATTTTGTATTTTTTCATTATGAGCCCTCCTAGGAAAATCCCAACACCTACAGGAGGTAAGGATGTCAATCCTGAAAGAGATTATAGAAGGGGAATGTTAAAATAAAAGAGTCACAATGGGCTCAAGAGCCAAAGTCTGTCCTCAGGCTGATGTCCCTGGCAGCTTTATGTTCTGTTGTGAGGACTCTTAAGTGGCTTTGTGCTCAGCCCAATCCCTGGGTTGCATATACTATTTCTGAAGTGCCTAACCCTCAAACCCCACTTCCATCGCAAGGTGGTTGTCAGATGTTGCAGCAATTAAAACTCCCACTTCACATTTATTGCATATTTGGGGTGCCCTTGCTATAATATAATATAATATAATATAATATAATATAATATAATATAATATAATATAATATAAATAGTTTATTCTGGTCCCATAGGCACCAAAGCTATAGCTTGTATGCTGCCTTTATATAGTTCAAGTTCAGGAGAGACTGCCATTTACATCAGCCTGTTCTGCAAGGAATTCAGTCCCAGAAAAAGCATGCCAGAACTTATCCCCATGCGCTGTTTATAGCATAAGCAGTCATTACATGGTGTAACTCACCTATTAGAAAGTTAGATTTAGATGTAGATTGTCCATACTGCTGTTCCATGTACTTTGGTTTGTAAGTCAAGAAACCAATAAAGCTATTGAACTGTAACAGTGAGCAACACAAAAATGTAAAGTACATTCGATTACTCAATACTTTTTTCAGGGAGGTATAGAAATCTGAAAGAAAGGGATATATGAGTTGGCTTTGAAAGATGCATGGCATAATTACTGGTAAGCAATCAACAAAACTTAGGGCAAAATCCTTCTCTCAGCTGTCCAAGTGCAAGTCATACTGATCTTCATTTGCATGCAAGTATCTGAAAGCAAAATAATGTTCTTGAAAAACACCAGACGTTGAGATACAGGAAGAGACTCCTAAAAGAAGACGGAAGTATGGGTTAGGGCCTGGGTGCTCTAGTGAGATCTGCACATGAAGACTAAAAGGGCTCCACACAGCAAAAACTTCTTTCAGCTTAACATGAATATTATCACAGGTTCAAGGCTAAGTGAGAGCTACCTTTGTGGAGATGCCCAATGTCTTCCCCTGGGATCTGAACAGAGACAGGAGAATTTGACTAATGATGCAAAGCCATCTCTTCCCACCACTTTTCCACCCCTTTCTTAGCCTAAGTACTGCACAACCAGAGCTGATATTCAAGCCTGCTGTATTTTCCTCAGGCAGCAATGTGCTTCAGAGTCTCTGTGAGCTGTATAATGATCAGATGAATAACTTGGCTTTCCATATCACAAAAGGAGCCTTCTAATATTTTCTTTAGGTCCTGATACAGAAACAACTTTTCCACTGTTCAAATTTCTTCTAGCACAAAATTTTAGAGGTAGGTGCCACTCAGGCAATCATTGCAGGTGATGCATGCAGAACCTCACAGTCTTGAACAAGCTCTTTGACTTCTAATAATCTTTAGCAGACCCCTCCTTTCCTGGGGATAGCTAACTGGTTTAGACTGAAGTGCAGGGGAGGCAAAATATTTTGCAGAACTGTTACATTCCCAGTGTACGTTGTGCCTATTGCTTTTCACATTTATACAACATGCAAAACACTTGCCTTTCAGTATTACTGACCACTTCCTTGGCTTAGGTTTTGCAGGAGTAAGTTTCTTCCTTGTGGCACCCATGTTTTCCAAGAGACCATGAGAAGATTTGTCATTATTGGCTTCCTCCAGCTTTTTCAGACTCTTCGGTAGGAAGCAAAATGGAATAGCAGCTAGGAAACTGGTTACTCCACCTATTAAAAAACCAAGCCACCATGCACCCACCCAGCGGGAATCCTGCGGGGTGATAGTGATGCTTCCTAGAATTGAGGGAAACAGATACAAGTTACCTAAATGAAGAAGTTGAACCTTCCCACCCTTTATCTACTAAAATAGCTACATTTTACAACATCTGACTTTCAGTGTCAATGATAATCATCTAATGAGAGACTGTTCACGCAATGAAGGCATCAGGAATCATACCCTGAATGGTGATATGTTTCATCTGCCTTTCTACATCTTATGCTGACTGCTGTCTTGTGGCATATATGGCAACGCAGAGGTCCTTACCCAACACATAAGAAACCAAATGGGTGGCAGACAGACCCCAAGCGTGGAGTCCCTTTAGGGCTGATACATTTCTACTGAGACCATCCTCTGCTAACCTGAATTGTATAGGTTGCTATTAAGCATATAGGCATTCTCTGTGGCATCGGGGAGATTAGCCATGACTTTAAACTTTATATTGCAAGGAAGATGAGAGTAGTTGGTTATGTTTTTATGATTGTTACATGCAGGCATGTTTGGTGGTGGACCAACACTATAAGACTTTTCACTGCGTGACCAGAATTGGCTCACTGTCCTTATGCTTAAGTGAAATCAAACATTAGCTTAACAAAGGGCAAACACAAAATAGTTCATCTATCTAACTGCGGGATCCTGAAGATCTGAAAACTTCTCCGTCCTGCTAGTAAAACAGGGTCATCCACTGCTGCTGCTACAGTGGGTCTTTTCCTGAGCAAGACATCACCAGTCCATACTGCCTGACTCCCCGTCAGGCTGGTCCAGCAGCGGGGAGGTGGGCTGGCCAGGAAACACCACCTCAGAGATGGCTCCTGCCTCTTCCAGTGAAAGGGAACAGGATGAAGGACCGCGGCCACCACTTATGGGGATTGCTTTGCCCTCTCTGGCATTTTGCAGATGTGAACACATACATGTGTTTTCACCTGAATAAACAAGGCCTGGAAAAAAGTGTATAATGTACTGCAAACATTACATGAATTGTAAATAATGTAAAATTCTCAGTTGAAAGGGTGTGTAATCCACCAAAACTGTAAAACGGCTATGCTAGAAGAATCCTTTCACTAAGATCCCAGTTTAGTAAAACATCTCGGGTCTGTGAGAGTTCTTAGAACTAACTTTTAAAGTTAAACATGTATTTTAATCATTTAATCTTAAAACACAGTTCTAAAATATGTTCCCTGTCTAATTCTGCCTTTACCCTAAAATCTTCCAGTAATTTAATTAAATTGCAAAAAAGTATATAATAAAATTAATGAAATAAATATAAATGACATATAAATTATATTAACATAATTAATATCATAAAAACTTATGCAACTGTGTAGAGGAACCTGTTATGAACAAGTGTTAGCTTAATTTAATTTTTCCTCTGTTTTGCTTACCTAAATCCACAAATCCAATATCCACGTACAGTTTTGCACATAAAGATCCCAACAGGAAACCAAACATTGGGCCCATCATGGCTATTGTGTGCAAACATGCTGAAAATATAACGAAGCAGATACTAGTACATTTTAATGGCTGAACATTTTCTTCTGCAGAGGATCATTCACCTCATACTACAAATCTCTCAGTTTACTTCATGTTGAGATTACCTACATACACAGGAACATCCTCTTCTTTAGCAAAATCATCAAGATAAGAGATGCCCAATGGTGCTATTGGTGTCTCACCAATTCCACGTAACAAGTTTCCCAGGAAGATGTATATCCACATATATGATGATGGCTCCTTCTCACAGCCTGCAGGTGAGAGTTTACATCTTTGTAATAGAATAGTTGAATGGGAAACAGTGCAAATCACAGGGAATTCAGCACATAAAACGATTATAGTTTAGTATTTAAGGCATTAACAGCATTTTCCTTAGATCAATTAAAGGCCGTTGACCTCATTATACCTTATAATAATCTTTTAATAACACTTTCCTCCACCTCCACTGTATTCAGTTTCTAAAATACAGGTATCAGCCATGAGAAAAAATGCTCATGTAAAAAAAATGGCAGATTGACATTGTCATAAATATATTACCTGGCACGTAACATATATCTTTAACATGAGAATTTTGAGGTGTTTTCTGGGGCACAGCTTGCTTCTTTCTCTACTACCTACGTCCCATGCAAAGCAACATGTAAAACTGCTGTATTCCATATTGTAAGATAGATCATAGAAAACTCCATTTATTTCCAGTTAACTCTATGCACTTTCGTGTCCTGTATGCTATCTCTTGCACATCCCTAACTCCAGGTCCTGGGCAACTGAATCCCTTCGAACACCGTCTCAGCATCCCCTTCAGTGTTAGGGAGATCTTATTGTAATTTGGAAGTATGAACATAGGAAACGGGGGATCTGGATCCTTATAATTTGTGTTTGCTGGATGTTTCTTCTGCAAAAGAGATACACGAAGTGCATTTAAGTGTTGGTAGTGTTCCCAGACAGGCAGAGACTGAAGTTGGAAATATAACCGAGTGACTTGCATAGGCCAATGATTTACTGCACTTGCAACCAAGGATAAAACTAGCTCCTGTATTTGTACTTAGAATTATAGTTCCTTACCAGATTGGGAGACTTCCAACAAGGTTTTGTTCACACCTTGATGTAGGGAACAGGGATTTATGCTTGATGTTAAGTTGGCTGAAGGAGCTGTATGTGATGCTGTCTCATACTTATAACTGAAAACACACAATAGTAGGTTTAGAAGCAATGTGCACTAGGGAAATACTAGAGTAGTAGGGCAGGAACCACTTGACTGCTGTTTCTCTAAACAGAAAAGTATCTTTGTTTAAATATCAATACAAACTGCTACTGAAGGAGCAAAAAAGATTATTTAAGCACATTTGGAAAACCAAAACACTAAAATGAAGAACAAATAAAAGTTGGAATCATCTGTCTAAAAGACATAACATTTTAAGCTGGAAAATTCAAAAGGGCTTTTGAAAGTAACTCAGATAGGATTGAACTTTTGGTGTCAAAATTTGGGGTCGGGTCAGGTCCAAGTGAGCTCCCTATGCTGACCCCACAGTCAAGACGATAAAGAAGAATCTCTTGAGTGTGAGTGGAAGTCCCCTATATGTATTTTGGGGTGGTGGGGGAGTAGAGGAGTGAGGCGAAGCCATCCTCAGGTGGTACCTGTTTGCCTGCTAATTGGCATTGGCTTTAGAAAGAGCTGTTGTATAGTAGCGGGGGGATAAAGTTAGTGGCTAAAAGACACTCTTTAGCTGTATTTACAGGGAGCTGGGCAATGCTGCAGGGAGGCAGCTGAGCAGCTCATGTGCTGGTAGCTCTTCAGATGCTTTAGCATGATCCTCTTCCCAGATACGAGCCCTGCTGAGGTGCAAAGTACAATTAGCTTAAGCAGAACAACACGGTAAAGCACACATTCTGCTTCTAGGAACTGGGCTGGCTCTGTTAGACCAAGCAGGCTTATTTTTCAGGTTGAAACAAAGAGCATTTATCAGGAGATACAGTGCAGAACAATTTGCTCATAAAAATTCAGGCCCAGGTTCATGAGAAACTGTGAGTTTCCCAATGTAGGTGAGCAAGATACATAGTTTGGCCTAAGGAGTGGAAAATAAAAGTCTGATGCTAGTACAAGGTCCACTATCATAATAAAAAGCATTCCTCAGTTTTCTTTTTACAGTTGTATACCTAAAATTACTCTAATACATTTAAGAGAGCAACAGAAATATGTCTTACTCTATATGCTGTCACTGTATCAAAGCTATGGCTAGAAACATTATTGTGTATAAGCAACATGCGGTAATTCTTTGAGCCTGGAGAAGATGAATAAAAATTAGCTTAACCAGCCACAGAAAATCAGTTTAACCAGCCATGTGCATTTGGAACAGGAAAAAACCCTGGGGTCAGTTCTACCAGCACTGATCCATCTGCAGGCTCTGCGTGAAGCTGAGAGGCTGCTTTGTGTGAAGAGCAGCTGTTTGCCACAGGAGAGCAAAATGCATCATCTTACACAACAAGGCTCTGGTTTCTTCTTTCAAGGAGCAACATTTCTTCTAATGAGGATCTTTGTGGGTTGGTTTCTTCACAGAGTAAGCTCTGAATCCCTGATTTTACATGAGAGTTACCTGTTACTATAAAGTCAGTCAGGTAGAGATATCACTCAATATGAAGTTACCTGCTCAGAGCTTTGAGATCCTGTTGAAAACAGTACAAACTTATTCTGGAAATCACATACGTGAATTCTACATTCCTCATAATTTTATTCTGGTTCATAATGGTTTGGCTTTCCTGCTTATATGATCCAGACATCTCTGTTAGCAACCAATGATGCCACATTCTTAGGTTAACACTGATTTTCCCAATAAGGTGTTCTTACAGTTTGCCATTCAGGAATAGTAAATAATTCATTAAAGCAATAGCACCAGCATAGTAGCACAGATGAAGATTTTCAAAGAAAGAACAATATGTTTTGTTTGAAAATTGAATTTTCATAAGATTTTCATAGATGTTTCCTCCTGAAAAAATAAATTCTAATGATTTTGTAAAATAATTTCCTCCCTTGCCTCTTTTCTGAACAAGTCTGACTGAAAACTAAAGCACTGTGATTTTCCTATTTTTTGGGGAAGTTGAAATTTTACTTCAGAGGAGCCATAGTTTTCCAACCAGATCTAATGAACAGTGATGTGTGTGTCAAGCATGATTCATTGCACATCAAGGTGAGGCTCGATAGGCCTTTGGAAATCTAAGACTTAATATACACCAAGTTTCATTCAAAAACCAGAAAGCAGTATCCAATTCCAATGTTAGGTTACCCAAATAAATCTTAATTAGTACTTACTATCCCATGAAGAAATGAGGCATTGCTGTTAAAAGACTTCCCAAAGCCATAGTAAAGCATCCAACAGCTATTACTTTGGGCCTATGAAGTTTAGCTCCAAAGTAGCTTACAAATGCAATCACCAGCAAGTTTCCTGGAAGGTAATGAACGAAAATTAGTGCCTAGTGCTGTGCCTTGTATTTCTCTGAACAGTTTTCTGCATGTTATGGAATATCAATTACCCATCTCAAAGCTCCCGTCGATGAAACCAACAGTAGATGACGTCAGGTCAAACCTTCGTTCGATCTGAGTGATGGAACTTTTCATAATCGTGCCAGACAAAGTTTTACTCAAGTAGCTGAATGATAAAGCAGCAAGAAATGCCTGAGGAAAGATTAAGACAGAAAATGGGAGGTAGAGGCAGGGAAACTTGTCACAGAGGGATCAAATACATTTAAAACTGTGTGGAGCAATCGATCATCATCATGGTAGGTTTGTTACTCAAATTGCAGTGACAACATTGTGTGAATTTTCATGTACCCTAATGCTATGGAGCGCCAGGGTGGTCTCTCAGCAATGTCTGCTCCTGCTCTGGTTTTCCCTGCTGGAGAGGGCTGGTGCTAGGTGCTGCACTGAGGGCAGCTGCTTGCTTTAGGGTTCAGGTTTGCAATAGTTGTCTTAATGACCAGAAAGCCTGATCTTCCCTGCATTGCTGGCCAGAGGTGTTCCAAAGCAGAAAGTCTATGGACTGTGGAACTTAAATTTGCAAACAACTCACTGGGGACTACTTGTCTTACCTATATCCTGACATTAAATTTATTAAAAAGCTGAGGCCCCGTGTTGGGCAGCAAAAATGGTGGGATTTCTAGATGTTGCAGAAATGTAAAGTTTGCCAGAGGTAAAATACCTAATCAGGATAGATGTACTAATACTAGTCCAACCTAAAATTAATCTTAGCCCCAATTAACTTCTGCTTGGGTCACATGTCACTTATTTTAGGCCAGTTCATAACTGGTTCTAACTCAAATATATAGATAGCTATGGCTTCAAAACAAAGGCTTTATGCAAGTTTTTATGGTGTCCCAGTATCTGGAAGGTGGTACAGACTGGTTGAGTTCATGTCTGTCTCAGATGATATATTTTGAAATGTGTGGATCATGGCTATGTCGCCTGTATATCATACACCTCATAATGGAAAGCTTAATACTCTTTATAATTTTATAGTTGCTTCCATCAACACACATTGTGGCTTTTGCAAATAAAGATGTATTTGATAAAAAGTTAAACTAAGTTTGTTTAAATATTATCCAACTATTTCAACATAGTCTAAAAAACAAATAGACTTATTGCTCACTAGGTAAAAGTTCCGATACAACACAACATTGGGTAAGTAAATAAAAGTAAATATAGATTTAGACTTTGCAATACTATCTACTGTAAGGAATGAAGCCAATACTGGAAATAAAAGCTTGAAAATAGGTATATTTATTCTCTTTTTGTCTAAGAACAAAGAGAAAAATCTCACAAGTGTGGGCTTTGTCCTGACATGGTTTGTATTTCCTGATCTCAATTGTCAAAGAGTCTGTGAGAACCACCTTTCTTGTGCTATGCCAACAGTGCTTTCGGGGGGTTTGGCTGAAATCACAAACCCCTGATAATCATGAAAACACAAACAAAAATGACTTGGATATTTTGGGTTTGAAAATGCAATCCCCAGGTAAACCACAAGACATTTAACAGGAAGGTGAGGAAGAATAACAGTTTGTCTTTTAGTACCTCCAAGGTATTGTGTCTATTAAACTCTAATTGCCATAAAGTTAGACATAGATCCACAGTCGTGCAGCGTTGCCCACATACATGATGGCGAAGTTAGTCCTGCGAGTCTCCCAGAGAAATCAGATTCTATTTTTGCAGGTGTATATGGGTGGCAAATGTGAGTCATATAAAATAAAAAGATAGAACAACCTTTGCCTGATACTTGAGCCAAACTATTTTGGATGTTTGAGAAGCTTGCAATTACCTGTTTTTTTCCATTAATCTTTCATTTTACAGACCTTTTTATAGAAAGAAATGTGTCCCTGATTGTAACTCCATCAGGCCTATGGAATTTAACCCGAGATGAAGCTGGCTGAAGAGGTAGTCAAAACATAAACCCGAACACATCACTGTCAAAAGAAATCTTGCCCTTGTAGTATTTGCAGCTCAGCCAGAAGCAATAAACACCAAGGCTTTAACACAAAAGCAAAATTCTCATTAGTTTACTTGCTTTGTTCCGTCAATTCTTCTTGTGCATTCCTGAAAGCTTGGATGCTTGTGGGAATCAGTGGACTGTTTGACACACAGCCCTGGATTAGATAAAAGTCCTGGAATACAATTCACCTCACCTTATTTTGGGCCTACGAGAATGGGTGGTGATAGCAACCTGCAGACAACAGTGTATCATAGCCGTCTATTTTAGGATGCTTCAAGTCTTCCACTGGAGGTTGCTACCTCTCTCCAAAAAGGGGATCTACCTATGAGTAACTTGAGAGGAAATATGTTGAATCAGGGTTTTTTATTTTCTTTAGGACAAAGACAAGATCCAACCCTTCCTTGTACCTCCAGTGTGTATCCAGTTCCAGAAAAGGTAGAGGGAACAGGAATGAAGTAATTTGTCATGTCCTATCTTGAACAACATTTCTTAACATATGACAACGGTAATTTGTGGTGATATTGATAAGGCACCAAACCTTCAAGCCTGTGCAACAGGAAGTCTTCTTTTTGACCGGTAGATTTTTGTTTGCTTCATCATCCAAAAGCTGGGCAGGTTCTGCTTCCTGATTTGAGTCATCGACATTGCTGGATTCGGTTTCCACTGTCATGGTTGACTTCTTTACTGAGTGATCTGAACCCAAGAGAAAACAATAATAAATACAAAAGCAAATATGCCAAAATAGAGTTGCTTAAGGACCTTTCTGATTAAACAGTAGTTAACAGGAAAACATTGAGGTGTTGAAACTGAATCTTTTCATTGGAAAGGATTTGGCTCAATGACTTGGGTGTTTCAAAGTATATATTTGTTTAAATTTGAAGTATTTTGTTTTCACATCTTTCTTTTCAAGGGAAATGGTCTTCCCCCCCCCCCCTGCTCCCTACCGCCCCCCCCCCCCTTTTTTCAGTCTAGAATGACTTTTAATGCTAAAAAGACAATTTCCACAAAACAGTAAGAGACAAAGTCTCTGTCCAGAAATAAACTACAAGGGTCAACAAAACATCAGTGCTGAAGCACACAGAGCCCTAGTGAAGCTCTGAATTTGAGGCCACATGGCTTAGGACCCAGTCGTCCTTTTAGTAAGAAAAATCTCTGTAGTAACACTGTGCCATCCTACTTCTTCACACTGGCCTGTTGGAAACAATTGTTAATGACAAAATAATTGATTATTTTAGCTACCTGACCTTCTATAAGGAGATTATATGTTTTTTCTTCTTGCAATAGTATACAGGGCATCCTAATCTGCTCCTGTTTGCAGAGTGCTGTCTATATCCCCTGATGCATGAAATCATCTGCAACTCAGCAGTTCAGCAGCACTGCTCCAGTTCCCCTGGGAAAAGAACACCCTGTAGCCACAGAGGACAAATCTTACCCCTTCTTTAGTATAACATATTTTTTCATTGTCAAAAGCCTTGTTTCATGATTAAGTTGCATTTGGTTTTGTTGCAATGAATAGTACAATACTTCACATCTTTTCTCAGTTTTTTAAAACACTATTTCTGAGAGATAAGTAAGCAATTAAAAAGAATACTTCAGTGAAAAGCTGTAAGGGAAGCCTATGTATCTATTTGCAAAGTTTATTTAAAGAATGAAAACACTTGCCCGTTTGTGCAACTCCAACTACAAACAGAACAGATTTCTGAAGGAAGATCCAGATGCCACTGCAGAGCCCCTCGGAAAAAAATGGGTCACTTGAAACAAACTCTCTTCAGATCTGCAGATCTTGACACACAGGGGAGATAAAAGTATTGAAACTAATGGCCCCAAGTCAGAACTCAGAACTCATAGCTCACAGGAACTGATTTATTTCACCTTTCACAGCAGTCTCCTCATTTGAGAAAAAGGTGAAAGGGGTGGTGGTGGAGGGGGGGAATCATACAAAGAGGGCTTTTCCATGCTTGACTGGATCTGAAAAAAGTTGGATGAACTTTTCCAGTGCTGGAAAAAGTCCATCTGCAATTGCAAATTGCTCTGCTACAGGCCATATAGCAGAGTAACATTTGTCAGAGAGTTTAAAGGGTAGGCATTGCTCTAATGCATGACGGTGAAGAACATTTTTCTTCACTCAAATGGAAGAGGGTTAATACCTAAGAATGTTTAAGACAAATACACAAACAGAGATTTAAACAATTTAGGAGTTTCTTGGGCTTAATTTCATGAGCATGTCCCTAGGTACTACTGCTGGCATGAATAACTCCTTTTGTTTCCCACTGCTTGTACCAGCTTCAGACACTCTTCACTTATGTGAATACCACTGCTTCTGTGCCTGTGCTGTAAGTCTGGGTCAGAACACATATCTGGATGAAAATAGCTTTTCCTTCCCCTTGGCTCCTCAGGCAGACAGGAACAAGAAGTAGAGGAAATAATTTCCTCAGGTCTGCACAACTACCAACCAAAATGCTTATGAAATTAGATTCTTGGCGCTCAAGAAAAGGTAGTACACAAATACTTCTGAGCATTTGGTCCTCTGAAATTTACCCATTCCCATGTAATCTGAAGATATTAGTTTCTCCCTGCTATTATGATACATTAAAGACTACAATAAGATGCTGAGGTAGCATGTCATTGCAGTTCACAGGACTAAAGAATTGGCTTTTTTAGAAGGTACAACATGACTTAGAATCTGAATATAAGGAGAGAAGGAATGAAGGCAGAGAAACATGAAGATAGAAAGAAGAGACAAAGTAGAGAAAAGAGAAAGGCAGTTAGGTATCCATACATATAACTGAAGAAGTTTCGATATTAGCAGGCTATCCCAGTAAATGTTTCAGAGAAAGACTGTGAAGGCACAAGAAGGGAGCACAGTCAGATTGAAAGTGTGAGCAGCAAGTATCAAAGAGGAGATTAAGCAGTGAAAAAGGCATCCAGAGGCAGAGGTTAGGGTACCAGGCAAGATAAAGGATAAAAGAAGAGAAGAAAAAGAAAGTAAAATTCATCGGGGGGGGGGGGGGGGGGAAA